CCACTCTGCTACTTTATCTATAGCAATAAAACCTGTATAAAAACATTAATTATTATAATATATAGTATTTTCAGCTTTATATTAAATCAAAAGGATTCAAAGCAAATTGAAAAACAATATTTTCAAAATTTGCTCCAAGTTGTTGATTTAAACCTTAGTGGGGATACTGAGCTAAAAAGGGAAGCTTTTTGTTCGTAATGCCTCCATGATTTACTCTGAGTTCTTTGCCTGGACAGCCAGAGGCTATCAACAATCACCCAGCTGTAGCCTCTGAAACACAACTCATGGGCCTAATGAACCAATGCACAATTACTTTAGGAAAAATCTGGCTTGACTTAGGAGTAGAAAAAGTATGTGGGTGTTCAGAAACACTTGCTTGTTTTTAGTTGTTTCTAAGGGTGTGAGGAGAAAAATCCATGTAACATTCAGATAATGATAAAATATCCATTGGAGTTTTTTTTTTTTTTTTTTTTTTGCTTGAACAAGATGTAGGTACAGTATGCAATTCTATTGTGTATTTTTATGTAGAAATACAGCAAGAAATGAAACAACTTGACAACATTGCATAAGCATCATGTCTCTTTCATGTCAAAGCAGCTCAAATTATTCTGACACAGTGCAGATATAGACTGGTGCCTGTCCTGATGCTTCTGGAATCAAAATTGGGCGATCCCTTTAAATGATCCGACTAGTGCAGTCCAAACCAATCATAGTTAATAGTTTCCTTTTGACAGCAGAATGACAAGAAGCTAAAGCTGTTGATCCAAAATACAGCAAAAGAGGTCTTTTTCTTTCCCCCTGAGAATAATGCATTTCTATTTCAAGCCTGTACTGTAGATAGTTTATTTCCCTTTAAAAAGGTCCTCAAATCTTAGAGCTTTTATACAAACATAGCAAAGTGGACTTCAATTTAATGTTTGCCACAAAAAAAAAGTTATAGAAATAATTTCCGTTCCAAATTATGAGTAAAATTTAGTTTGCACTTTACCACAAGCAATAACAAGTAATTGCATTACTTTAAAGGTCTGCTTTATGAATTAGTCTCTTTGCTTTTATTGTTTCGAATTGTACCATGCCTCCATTGATATATCGTTAAGTACTTCATGAGGATTTGCTTCCTCAAAAAAAAAATCAAAACTAACCTTAAAGTGGCTACCTGGTCACAAATGACCTTTTAGCTCATGAATTTCCAACAAGTTCAAAATAGATAAATAAAATTGCATCAGTATATTTGAACAACAAAAACTTGATTTGAAAAAAGCTGCTATACCCAGATATTAAATCATTTAAATCTTGTGCTTATCTAGCTCCTTCCTTCAGACAGCAGCTAAGCCTTAAGTCTGCTTAGATATCACAAATGATCTGTTTAGCCGCAAGTGACTAACTCTAAATTACTGAAAGAAATATTAATATATAACATTCATAAGGAGAATTACTTCTGTAACTATTCTTACCACCCAAACAGCTTTGTTCACAGATGGCCATACTTCAGGCTACAGCAACCAGCGCAGACTCCGGGTGCCATCTTAGCAGGACAGATGAGGATAATACCGTTGCTTCTAATGAAGCAATAAGTAACCGGCAGCAGGAAACAAGGGTTATTTCGTAACTCCGACTCTATCCTATTAGTATTTTATCTCAAGGAAATTGTGCCTTAACACAAAGACTAACAAGAAAAAGACTCACTGTGCAAATACCTCCTTTATTTACTCCAAACAACATAAGATACGGAAGAGACAAATAATATGCTCAGATTTCTAAGCTAACCACTGTCAGCTCTAACGTGTGCAGATAAAGTAAATCATTCTGGTCTTACTGTAAATGATGGCTGCAGGATGCACAGAAACCGATGTTTCTATGAGAAAACTGTACAAACATGTATACTTACCAAATAAATAATGATTTGAGTTTTTTCCTTGTAACAATGCATCTTAGCAAAGTATTTGGAAAGCCGTGTATTGCCCTTTAAATGGGGACGCGTTTGTAATGTACAGTAAACGCATCTGTTACCTCCTCTTCATTTCGCCAGCTTGCTCACACATGGCTGTGGGGAGGCATCCTATTCCTCAACCAGCATTAGTCAGAGTCAGCCAATGTGGTATTGTTGGTTAGGCTAGTAACAACAGCATGTCCTGCCATATTTCAAAAGTGTTCATCAGAAGACATAACTACAGCCCATCGTTTCCATCTCCAAAATCTGTTTCTAGCCTCTAGAAAATGCTGCTCCATCGATGACATCATACTGGATGAAGTTTGGGCTCCTTAGAGTGGGGATATTAGATTGGCACAAGCAAAATATCATCTTAAACCTTTCTACATTGAGATATAATGCAATAATGACAAGCTCAGTTTTTTTCAATTAGGGGGAAAAAAACATCTTCCTGCTTCCACGAAAACTAACCTTTGCTGCCACCTGCGTAGTCAACTCTACGGCCTATCCCACAAACCCTTTTTCATTAGAAATGTGGCACCATTCCAGGGGAAATTACCACCAGATACAAACAATTGTAAAAAATAAAAAAATAAAGTCAGCTAAGACCCAAATTTCTTCACTTCTTACCCAGAGTTTATACAGCTTGTTGAGTTGAATATCTAGACTGTTTTTTTTTTTGAGTTTTCAGTTTTTTTTCTGCACATGGACATTATTTTGTGGGGAGATGGGGGGAACTTGTCCCCTGCACTTTTTCAAACGTGCATTTTTGTCCCCTGCAAATTTTACTGTCCAAAAAACAATTTTACCATACAGTACATAGATTTTCGTCGAGGACTATGACCAAGTGGAAAACCAGAGTTCAAGCTGAAGCTCGCTTCCTTGAGTTTAGACTGCTCGCTAGCTTCTGATTGGCCCACTGTCTTATCTTGTGTGATTGGCTGTCAAACACGCTGAAGCTAGATATATTAAAGAATACTTGCATCTCCCCCACTTCTGAAACAAAATTTTGTCCACCGTTCTGCAACATGATTTTACCGAAAAGTAAAAACTATACAAAGCTTTTTTACCGAACAATAACTTGCTACAAGAAAAATAACCATTATCACTATAATGGCAGAGTTTGAAAATCTTCATCCCGCCTAAGAGTTAAGTGTATATAAATATCTAAATATAGATATGTGATTAAATAATTATCAGCTGAGGTCATGCCATTAAAAGAGACAATCATTAGGACTGTGAAAAAAAATCATGTCTAGAAGCTCAGTGACACAGCACCTACAAATTTCCCAGATTAGACAGAGCTCACACAAACTGCTGTTTTAACAGCAGTGATTTAAAACTATAAATTAAATATCCTTAGTGGTTATTTGTAATCTGCCTCATAACATGGGTTTAGAAATGAATTAGCTATGATATAACAGTAGGAGGGCTACTAAATAAAGGGATGAAGTTTAATGACTGAGATGTTGGCTCTATTTACATTTTTTAAATTAAATTGTCTTTTGTTGGCTAAAAAAAAAGAAAAAAAAGACACTCTTTCAAAGATCTTTCCTGCAAAGTTTAAGGCAACAATAACACTTATGCTTTGATGTGGTCCTTTTCAGAAAATAAACTAATCTGCCATATTTTCACTGCTTTTCACTCCAGTTTAGGTGGACATCAAAGAGTTTATCCAATGTTAAAAAGCACAGTGGGATTATAACCTTAGAAGGATTAATTTCCAATTGCTGGATTATTCTTCTCTAAAATGTATATTCTTACTCTACATTTTTGTTACTAATTTCTTGGTCTTTAGACAAATTAAATAGCAATACTATGGTATATAAGTATTGATAAGGTTCTCCTTTGTAACCTTTCATAAAACTGATGTGTTGACAGTGCATTTGTATTAGTTAGATTTTTGAATATATATATATATATATATATATATAGAGAGAGAGAGAGAGAGAGAGAGAGAGAGAGAGGGGGAATACGTTTTCCAAGTTGATTTATGAATCTCTTTTTTTGGTGAACTTTTTACTTTTTTTTCCACTTTCATTCTGAAAATATTTTTGACTTGCTTGAATTATACATTATCCTCATCTAAAATATAATAACTCTGATTGTAAGAGCACTTAATATATTTATATTATTTGTATGGAAAAAAATATGTTACTCAATAACATATAAATAATAATTGGAGGTATTAGCAGACAAGTAATCAGATCGTGGCCAAAACTGGCAGTGGCTCTGCCAGGGACAGCGATTGGCTGGTCCAAATATTAAAGACCAACACTTTTTCTAATCAACAACATAGTTTGGTCTGGATTCTCACCAATGAATATGCCTCAAAGTCTATTTTCAGAATCAGTGAAGTGTTAAAATTACATCACGAACTGTAGGATGTGCAGTATAATTGAACTTAAAAATCACAAAACCATAATTGTCTTGTTTAATGTAGGGCTGAAATATTTTGATTTTAATAGAAATGCTGAGTGGTACCAATGGCATCTTTTTACAGCTAACTTCAACCACAATCTCCCCTTCCACGGTCATCTTTTCTCCTTATTAATTATGATTGCAGCACTTCAATAGAGATAATACCAATAGGGATTCACAAATAGTAACAAATGGTTAGGAAATTACAAACAGACATTTCTGACTTGAGACTTTTTTCATCTACTAAATAATAAAACCAAGTTTAAACAATCCAGCATTATCTGTATACCTAAGGGGTCTCTTTACTATGTGCAACATTTCAGACGTTTGTTTCCTGACTCCTGAAACAGATAAGAAAAAACCCACCAAAGCCCTACGGGAGCCTTAGAGGGAGCAACAACACGAATAAAGTGACAGATAAGCAACACCTACACAAAGGAAATATGAGAAAATACTGAACAGAGGAAAAGTAGATGTGAGTATTCTGCATGTGCACATGAACACAATTATATGATACATGCAGATACAAAGGAATCTTTAAAAAAAGGCAAAGTACAGTGAAAAGAAGTAGGAGCACAGGAAACAAGCAGCCTGTTTGTGCTTCGTTGATGTCAAAGAATGAAAAAAAACAAATTACTTTCACACTTACATTATTCATGTACTCGCTCAACAGATCTTGCAGGGCTTGACGGACAGCATTGCATTCAGCCACAATACGTTCACGGCGATCATCACGTGTGCATGACGAGTCAGCCATCAGCGCAGCCCCACTGATGATGCTCTCCAGGCGCTCCTCCAAAGAGGGCCTGAAACGAGCCTCACTGAATGTCAGAGGGTCCAGAATGATCTTGTTCTGCAGAAAAGATAAAACACCGACATGTAAAAGTCTACAAACAGAGTGGCTATACAATACCAGCCATTGGTAATACATTGGAGAACCAAAACTCATTGTGTGGTAAGCTGTTCTTTCAGTTGCATCTTTAGTGTTTCAAGTGTTTTTTGAGAGCATCTTCACAGAATACACACTCTGGTCTGAAATGAATAATTTCTAAAAACTAAATGTTATGTGATGATCAAAAAATACCTTCTTAACAGCCTTGAAAACAGAGTTATGGCAGAGCACTTGAAAGGAATGTAAAATTTTTCCAGACACAATGTGACCAGCAGACTACCGGCTTTTCTTCTAAAAGTAAAGTAAATTAGATTTTCTAAAAAGCATTATGTAAATGTTATTTTTTTTTTAAGATTTTGAAGACCACTTTTTGGTATATGGAAGTTTGGATCCTTTGTAAGGAAATTGCAGGAGAGCAAGTATAATATATTGAGAAGAAAGCTGACTGAAAAAAAAGAAAAATAAACCTCAGAAAGATCTATTGCCACTGGGTTATAGTGACCTCTGCTAAAGCCTGTATATTAAGTATTGATGTCTCCTAATGAGGTCTACCTTCAGTCTGTTGAGTGACCCGCATCTGTGCTCTCAGTTCCCAGCCTGTTAAATGTACAGGCAGGTGCAATCAGGTCAGAATGATTATCCTGTTTCTCCAACTATAATGTAGTAATATAAGGCAAAGTACCTCTAGGAAGGAAACTTTCTAGCAGCGCTTCTCATATATTGTGAATAGATAAAAAACATATTTCTATATATTCCACTTGTTTATTTATTTATATTTTCTCTATTTTGGTGTATGTATGTTGAAAAACTAGTTTCAAATCAGCCCATAAGGGTAAAATATAAATGTTCCTGAAATTTTATTCCATTTGTCTATTTAGTTACTTGAAACAGCACTGTATATGTATTGAATTCATATTTTTTTTCATCCAGCATGTAATTTATTTATACTTTTTTCCACATTTTATAATTTCTATTTATTTTTTATATGATTCTGGTGCCTTTTAAAAAAAAACCTTATGACTTCAGTGTTATGCTCCATTTAGTCTCTTCACCAACCCATTAACATAAATGACAATATGTACCTCACACACCTGTATTTGATTAACTAATTATCTTAAAATCTTACCTAATGGCATAACCATTTTTCTGTTTTTTAGTCTCTGAAAAAAGCCTATAAGCAATTAAAACCATTGCATGCAAAGCTGAATGATGATATTTTTATATGAGCATAATGATAGCAAGTAAATCTGGGGAGCTAATCTGCAGAAATGACTTATGTGGTAAATGTTGCATGTAAAGAGGCGCTGTTAGAACAAAGGCAGTGTAGCTGAAGCAGTCTGCTGATAGCTGTGGCAGACTGTCAAATAATCCCTAATAACCTTTAAAATAATAAAGAACAGTTTACTTTCTACCTGAAATTAACAAGGGCATATGTTGCACAGATGCAAGATGTTTTTACTGAAAAAAAAGCCTTATATGAATTATGTCTGCATATGAAAGATTCTGATAAAATCTCAATGTCCTTGTTTAGCCTTTCTGACATCAGAAGTGATGACTTAAGGTCGAGTTAAAAAAAAAATCAATTTACATTGCATTTCAGTATGAAAAGGTCCACAGAGGAGAACAGCATGAAGTGGAACTAAGAACATCCCCAAGGACTCAGGAACGATATTTTTATTCCACATGGGCTGTGAGACTACAATTACGGCAAAGATTTGGGAATAAACAAAGATAAAAAATACCAAAGGAGAAAAAAGAATGATGGGCTGACATTTGATGGGAGGATTTCTTCGTAATTGAAATTTTTCCAAAGACATCTTTAGAGAAATAGATGATTGTGACAGACGGGAGTAGTTTTCTCAACAAGTAGTGATTAATAAAAGGCTGACATTTTTTTGTCCTATAAATCAGGGGTTGGGATGTTGTTGACTGTTTTAGATGTCAATATTACCTAGTATTGTGAAAAAGGAAAATGTCAAAATTAACAACATTTTTAAATCAAGACTTTAATTAAAAATAGTCAGTTTAAAGCTCCATTTGTCTTACATACAAGAACACTCAGTAATCAAACATATTGATTTTAATCTAAGTAATTAATATAAGTTATTCAAATTACTTTATGTTGGTGTTGAAGGAAGTGTGAATTTCTGTTTGTTCTAATTTGTAAATGCTAAGTTGTTCTTACATGGAATCAGGTGTGCTAATGACCACACAGACTACTAAACAGATTGGAATTACACTAATTGAGAGTGAAACTCATGTATTATGTGGTTTCAGTACATATGGATTTGTTTCAAGCATAAAGGCATGTCTACATACTGGACAGAATGCATTCAATTCTCACTCAAGGTCTCTTTTTCATGAATTGCTGTATGAATGTCGTTTACTATGGAGGCAGGCAGCCTATGGCACTGCTGAGCTGCTAAGAAAACCCACATTCCTATGATAGTGGCCTTCAATTCAGCCGCATTGCTGGATCTGCTGTTTCTGTCTGTTTCCATGGTAATCAAGTGTATCAGGTGTTCCTTTTGGCAGTGTGGGCAAGTGCTAAGTCCTGCCAGAAAAGAAAACCAGCATCTCCATAAAGCTTGTCAGCTGAAGGAAACATCAACTACCCTGTGATTTTGTTGTCTATAGCTGCATTGATTTTGATCTTCATAAAGCAGAGTGGACCAACAGCAGGAAATGACATGGCTGCCTAAATAATAGCTGTCTGTGTAAATTTCCCACTGGATCTTAAACGTTGATTGTTTACCTCCCCACTTTTCCTCCTGGCTCTGGGAGTCAGTGCGCAGCATGTGAAATTCTTGAGTGGACCTAGCTTCATACTTTTCCATGAGCTGAAGTTTTTCGTGATGCTTAAGATGTTTGCTTCCAATCTTCATCGTATTAATTTTCTTCTTTAGCCATGATCATTTACTGCCTTAACTTCTTGAGAAAAATGTCAACAACTGATGGACAACTGCAGAGTCTGTAGCATTATTCATGATAATAAAAGCCATACCATGGCCACATTATACGTATTATAAATCTTTGTTCTTATTTATAGGGACAGGTACCAGGTATCTTTATAGGTTCAGACCTAATTCTGTCAGTACTGACGAGAAACTATTAGTATATGAATAAAAAAGGAAAAAGTTTGGGTGAACAAATACATCATTGTAGCATTGAAGGAAACAAAGCAACCTTACAAATTTAAACCCATACTGTGCACATTCCATTGGGATCAGTGGTACCTTCTGATAGGGGCGAAGTTTTAGTGAGTGGATTATATACTTCTTGTGTGTCCATTGTAAATGTATCGTACAGCTAGAGGTCATCAAATATGGAGTGGCATATGGCATAGAGCTTGGATTCTTGAGGTTCTGAGTTCGAGCCCCACTCCCACAGACTGCCACTCTGGCTCTTTGAGCAAGACCCTTAAACCCACAATGCTCCCCCCGGGGCGCCACACAATTGCAACCCACAACTCCCCAAGGGGATGGGTTAAATGTAGAGGTAAATTTCTCCAATATGAAATCAATAAAGTTCATTTAAATAAATGTCAGTTATATGCTTATTTCTGGAGGTGGATATGATTTACATGCTGCCCAATGTCTTCTTTCTCTTTTAATCAAACTCTTTTTGATTTTGAAAACCAAATTTAACAATTTCCAAAACCAAGGACGTGTTGGGTGGTGAGCAGCAGGTGTGAGCTCAATGAAAGCAAGACTGCGTGTGAGTGTTTATTTTTTAAAGCAATGGATCAAAAGCAGGAACAATCAAAGGACCAAGGGCCTTGGTGTTGTAAGCATTGTTAAGGCAAGATTTCATGGTCATCATGGTCTGTGATGGTCTGATATGGTCTGTGATGTTGCAATGTTCCCTGATAACGGATTTTTTTTTTTTATTCACATTAAATACGAAGTGCATCTGCAGGTCAAGATTAAGGAGTTACTTTAAAATCTTTTTTTGTTTGTTTGTTTTACAAAACTACAAAGTCTGATACAATCTGAAAGAGTAACAAAATGAGACCAGTACATGATGGTGTTAAGACCTGAGGCCAAGACTGGGAAAAAACTGGTAGAGACCAGATTTGGACTCAAGATTGGTCTCAAGATCTCCATCTCTGTATGGGATCTTAAAAATAATGCAATTATTTTTATTAATCGATGAAAATTATCTTAAATGGTATAAGAGCTATCCAACCATTTTTATAAGGGGTCGTGGACTCACTAAACATTAACTTCAGGTCAGAGAAAACATGTTAGTAAAGATAACAACTACAGATATGAATTAAGTATTTGAGATTTCCTGCAATGTTTGAGTTAATGTCTAAGTTTATGATTAAGTTTCCTTTTATATTCCCAAATACTAAAATATGCCTTTTTAATTACTCTTTAATTTATTGAAATATACCTCTATGTAGTATCTTCTGTGTGAGTAAAAATGTATAACTTAAGTCAGTGCGACTGCAAGTCTCTGTGTGATCAGGAGAATGTTCTTGCTGCGTTGGACAATATTGTCCAACCACCGCAGTGCAGAGCTATTAAGTTTCACAGCTTGAAGAAGGGGCTTTGAGACTTGCTCCAAGAGTTAGCGCTATGTGATGACGCCCCATGTACGGATTTAATAAACAGCAGGGAGGCTCCTAATCATGTCCCTAAAGTTATCAGTAATAATCCTTTTCCTTCGCTTTAGTAACTTTCTCCAGACATATCAATTCCATTTTATACATATAAAGTAGAGTGTATAAAAAGCTTAAGTTAGCAACAAAATTTTCATTTAACTCTCTAAATGGGAGCTTTATATCACATAGTACATTTATAGGTTGTTTAATGTCTGATAGTGCAATCGTAGAGAACCAGGTTAACATAAAGCATGTGATCAAACTTGTATCCAGTTATTTGTCTCAATGCATTATACAGCTAATAAAGCTATTCAAAAACACAGGATCATTTAAAAAGACACTATCTTCAGGG